AAAGCCAGAAGTACAGAAATGCCCTTCAGGTCACCTTTATGAGGAAGCCAAAAGCTGCGTAATTGCAGTTTATGCCATTAGTGATGTCTTCCTACAGTGCGGAGAGCAAATAGCTGCAGGTTGAGACTCTCCCTGCTCTAGCTGTTGTCTCAGATGCCATCAGCAGGTTTTATGTTCACCTGCACAGTCATGCCTATGTCACTGCACCCATTTTGCCTGCAGGCTTGAGGACCAGCTCAAGGAGAGCTTAGTGGGAGTTTTCCTGCAGCAGTGTGGGTTAGGACTGATCCTGTCCCTTCTGAACTTGGCTGGTTTGAATCAGAGATTTGAACAACAGATAGCACTGCAGGAGAACGTGCCCTGCCCTGGTATCAGCTGAGCCATGGGGCAGGAGGATGTGGGGCACAGATATGGTACCTTCAGCTGGGCAAAGAGCTGTTGAAGCAGCACATCAAATCCACTGTTTTCAATATCAGCGAGAGTGCTGAGGATATCAGCTCTACTGTCCTCCTTTTCTGCCACGTATTTCTCCGTGTAGTCTCTGAAAGAAAATACCAGTCAGGTCAGAACAGTCTGTCCTCAGAGGAGAGAGAGAAAAATTCAGAGGTCTCCAAACCTTCTGCAGGCAGATGGACCTACCTCTGCTCACTCTGGAGTACCTCCCCTCTATACACTGCCTGCAGAGGAAGGAGCAAAACCTTTTCTTTTGGACTCTTACCTAAAATTCCAGCAGTTGTTAATATTTGCAATCAGTATAGGCTTGTAGTATGTGTGCTTCTTGCTTTTCTCCTTGAAGTCTTCAAAGGCCTCCCTGTAGCTGGAGGGGAGATGGGAAGAGGAGAGGTGGGTGAGTGGCTGCCCAGGTGCTGTGCCAGCCCCAGTGCCCACAGCCCTCCCCACTCACTCACCTCCTCAGGAAGGCTGGCAGCTCCTTCAGCAGCCGGCGGGACAGCTCCTCACCCACGGCCTTGCTGATGTCCTCAGCCCGCTTCTGGCTGCTGTACATACTCTAACAAACAAGCGAGATCAATTTTAAATGTTGCCTGCTCCAAAAAGGCCAGGTTTGCTGGGTAAAAGAAGCTGCAGGTTTGCTGGGTAAAAGAAGCTGCAGATCCTTTGCTGAGAGCTGCACCCAGCTCTCCTGCATCCCCCCCTGCAACTGATGCAGGGACCAAACAGAGCAGCTATACTTAGCTGAGAGGTTCAAAAGGAGCATGAAGAAAATCTAGAAAACAGCTGAGAAAGTAGGCAATTTCACACTTGGTTGTGTTTCTTTTTTTTTGTTTTTTTTTTTTTTTTTTTTTGAATGTCATTAGATTGCATTTAAATGAACCATTTAATCACAACAACCACAACACATGAGAGGTCTATTTTTTAAAAGTAAACTCAAGTAATCCTCTGCAGCCAGAGGAGGGAAAGGGGCAGCTCTGTCTGTGGCACCTTCCCTGGGAGGAAGAAAGAGACTCCCCATTTCTCAATCAACTGAGCCGGTGTCCTGTCTCTGCTGCTGGGGATGCAGAAGAAATTGCACAGGAGAAGGAAGGCAATTTTTCTTCTTATTTTGCTTATAGAGGTGTTTGCCTCTGTCCCATGGTACACCCAGCCCACGACAGACCATGGTTTTTAGCCTCCCTGTACCACCCACCTCTGCTACCACTCTACACAAGTGACTTGGCCTTTTCCTTTTCTGCATTGACCATAGTTGGTCTCAAATCCTAAGCAGGTAAAAGATGCAATTGTTTATTTTTAATATAGCTTTGTATTACCTGAATAACAAATATTCCTAGCAGTTCACTCTGAAAATGTCCATTTAGCTTCTCTGGTTCCTTGTCTTCTTTCCATCTTTGGATTTCTTTATCTAAACATCTGCTCAGTGAATTTTTGACAGTAACCTTTAGGGAAGGAAGAACAATGGCATTTACTACAACGTGGATGCAACAGCTCCTGCCTTATGCAGGTTTTACCCACCCACCCACCTTTTGCCTTGCCCAGCAGACTTTTTCCTCAGCCCTGGCTGGGATATAAAGGTTCCTTGTTAGGAGATGCCTGACCCATGACTTCACAGCAACAAGGACAACCCCCTCACGATACCTCCACAATAGTGAGTTGAGTATTTTAAGATGGGAGTGAAGATTCCATCACACCTCCGCATCCAGGGGATCAGGAGGGCAGGGAGGGAGCAGTGGGTAGGAAGGTTGCAGCAGCTCCGTGTGCCAGAGCCCAAATTCCCCCAACCACACACTGTGTGTGCATCACTCTCAGAGCCACCTGCTTTTGCAATCCTTTTTCATGAGCTTTTCTGACGCCACACAAGTGCTGGAGAGGGAAACAAAGTGCTCTCAGGTTTTCTCTGCTCTGACCCCTCTGTGCTGCAGTGAGGCTTTGGAAATGGTCTGTGCAGTGTCTGGCACATACTGCTGATTCCCCCGTGTCCCGTTCATGCGCTTTGCAGACCTCACACCACCTCTCCCATATGCAAACCATCACAGACTACAGTTAAACTTGGAACTCATCTTCTCATTTTCCGGGAATTCCAGGCCCAAATGCCAAAAGCACTGAGCTATGGGAATACTCTAGAAGTGGCTTCTTGTTTCCATTAAGGGAAGGGTGATACAAAAACCAGAGCAAGTTTTATTTTCTGCAGAGCAGGCAGTTCTCCATCAAAGAAAGAGATTTGTCAAGACCAGAACTCCATGCTTTGCGCTCACCCAAGGCCTGGCACCTCTGCAGATACCAGGAGTAATCCAAGATCCTTCAGAGATTCCTGTGAGAGGGACCATAAATCCCTCTGGAGATTTACCAGACAATGAGAAAGTTGCCCATAAAGATCTGTTGCTGGATTTTCCCCGTTGCTACCACATGATTTACAAGAACAGAGCAGTTCTTTTCTCATGGCTCCCAGGGCTAAGCAGAAGTTTGCTCTGCAAGTCCCATCTAGCAGAAAGGTGACCTGCTCCCTAAAAACAAACAAAAGCTTCTGCTTCTCCCTGGAAGGGTGTGTGGTTCACTGGTGAAGAGGTGTGTGTGCAGGACAAGTCACAGCTTCTGTGAGGAGTCACAGGGGAGCAGTGAAGGGAAGAAGAGGAGTGACTGAACCTTTCTTACCTCTTCACTGTCAAGGTATTTATTTTCAAGCTCTTTGCTCAGACTTGAAGGCAAAAGGCTTCCAAGCTTAACTTTATCCAACTCCATGGCTAAAGCATGATCTTTTCTCATGTCTCTGGAATGAAAAAAGCCAAACAATTGTATTTTCCAAAGGCAGTGTAATTCAAGACAGCTGTTGATGCAAATCGCTAACACTTTTTGAGGGTATCAGTGAAAAAACAGATGGAAATGTACATTGTCCTCAGCCCAGGCAGGACTTGGAGAAGGTGAATGGATACGTGCCAGGGGTGAGATCTGTGAGGGCGGGACCACAAGCAAGCCTGTGAATGGAGTCATAAGACCAAACTCCTGAGTACCAGCCACTGTGCTCTGGTGGGGATGGGAGACCTGAAGCAAGCAGGGGATTCTAGCCCCTGGACATGGCCTCTCTCCATGCATACAGAGAGGTGAGCAGATGAAAAGCTGGTGTTGGATGGCTGGGAGGTGGTCCCTCAGCAGACACCTGGATGTGGCCTCTGGGAACACTCCCAAAGCAGCTGCTACCCTGGCCAGCACTGTCCCCAGTGCTGGGCTGAGCCCTGCTCCTCACAGCTGCTCACTCCCAAACACAGGCTGGTTCTGGCCTGAACATCCTGATCTAGAGCACAACACCGGCTGTGGAAAACTTCCGGCATCAACGCTGAATCATTACACTCATCAGTGGAACACGAAAAGGATAAGGTGGAGCTGAATGACTTTGGAACAGAAGAAACATTGCTGGTGTCTTTACTGGTTTCCACCTAAGAAGTGAAAGCCCTCAATTCTCCACTCAGTACTATTAGCCACAATAAGAAATGTTTTCAGTTCAATAACATTCAGAGTTTATGGGGACCCTTGGATTGTGTCCTCTCACAGGGGCGCACCCCTGGCTCTCCTAAAGGAGAAGAAAACACAGACTGTGGGTAACACCTAAGCAACATCCTCCACGCCCAGGATAATTGCATCTCAGGTTATTTTATTTATTGTCTGCCCTCTGGTACAAAGGGCTGAAATTTCCAAATTTTCCAAGATTGAGCTCAGGTCTGCAACTGGAATTGATATCAAGGCAATGAACCTGATCAATTTACCCCACAGATGAAGCCCTAAAGATTTGTGTGTAGGTTTCCCAGCAGCCAGAATGGTGAAACAGCCCTTCATTTACAGACTAGCAGCCTTGAGTGTCCTTTCTGGCTGTTCTGGCCAGGACTGTAATTCAGCACGTCATCAGTAACACCACTAACTTAGCCAGGTACTGGACTGCATCACAGTAATATTAACTCATAAATCAAGCAAATGCCTGGGTTTGCAGCCAGTGAGCCTGTTTTGATTTCCAGGGGTAAACATGTATAAAAGCCCACTTACTTTGGATAAAAGTTGTGCACCCATGAGAGAAGAAGATAAATATCCTTGTCTTCCAGATGAGACTCAGCATTTTTCTTTGCCTGGGAGGCAAAATAATTGTGGTAGAGTTCTGCATATATGCTGAACACATTAAACTCGGGAGGATAAAGCTTATTAATATACTTGGCAACCACTGTCAAATCTTCTTTCATTGTCTTTCCCATGTGCAGGAGGTTCTGGCCAACTGCAGAGAGGTTCTCAGCTCTAGGAGTACGGCTTGTGTCTTTCATTCGAGCCTCTACTGACTCCTTTACTGTAGCCATCCAGAGCTCTTTCCATTTTCTAGGTCTAAATTGCATATTTTGGTCAGGTGGATTCTCTGACATGTAGTTCTGATCTTCTTTCTCCTGTTCTTTCAGAGCCTCCACTGCCTGCTGTAGCAGGTCTGGGTTTGTTTTTGCAAGCAGCACAGAATCCTTCAAGGTGCTGAAGACTTTGTGCTTCAGAACTTCATAGACAGACTCGATGTCTTGCTGACTGGTGTTCAGTCCCTCCTCACTTTTGGTAGAGAGGCTCTTCTCCAGGGCAAACAGATGTTGAATGGCATCACAAAGCTTCTGCTCTCCAAGGAGATCCATGACTTGTTTGACTGGTGAAAACAGAACAGCCTGTCTTTAACCAAGAGTGAAGATTTAGACTTATGTTTTATAAAAAATGATGGCTCTGGAATATTTTTAAAAAATGCTTATACTTCCAAAATGCTAGCTCTTGGGCTCCTACACCATATAGAAAGTCTGTTTAATTAAAGATCAGTTTATTTCCAGCTTGCCTTTAACTGGGGCAATGAAAACTTTAATACCCACCACCAGTGTGTTGCATATGGACAGCTATTCACGAGCCACCTATAATTGTTTCCAAAATTTAGCCCTGTGGAGTTAGTTAGTTATTGCTCATCCCCTTCCCATTAATTTGACCTCAAGTCAGAAGGATGGCACTAGAAATAATGTAGACAGCAAGATGTAACTAAAGATGTGCTGAAGGAAATGCCACATGGGTTTTCCAGAAATAGATTTGGCACAACCTGACCTGTGAAATTGTTTGGGACGCCACATTTAGCAAGCAAGACAAATACAATTCAACTATCTTATCTGAACTACAGCCAGTTACTTGACACAGGGAGACCTGGGAAATCATTAGTTAAAACGGCAAAGTTATATCCCAAAATAAGATTTGTTAGGTATGTAATGGAGGACCCCGGGTGGAGAAAGCTTACATTATTCATGAAACTCATCTTACTTCATTTATCCTTAAAGATTGTGGCACAAAAGCTGGGAGTGCCCTTTTGGCATCTGCTGATTGCACAAAGTTCAGAGACATTATCGAAACTGAGGGCCTGGTGTATTTTACAGGAACAATGGGATAAGTTGAATAGTAAATGGGCTGAAATTTAATGGCACAAAACATCAGATACAAATCCAATATAACAAAAGTTACTTAGCAACAAACAGGATTTTCTGCTGCAAGCTGGATGTGAATCAGCTTGAGATGGAGGAAGAAAAGAGACGCCTGGAGAATTAGTAAATCCTTACTGGGAGGTGGTAGTGAACGGTTATGGTTATGTCAGTTATGACCCCAGGATGTACTCAGTGAGAAATATCCAGCTAAGATAGGAAAATAGGAATATATTGTGCCACATATTGGTGGTGTCTTATCTGGAATATTTTCTGCAATTCTGGTTGCTTAAAAAAAAAAAGAAAAAAAAAGAAGACGACATTGGGGATCATTGGGGATGGGGCAATGCAGCAGTAAAAACAAAAGTACAACAGGCCTGTTTTCAGCAGAAAATTCAAGGCCAAGAAGGAAAACCACCAGTTAGGGAAAGCATTTGACACATGGAGAGGAAATAATTTGTACTAAAACGGCAAGACTTTGTAGGAGGAGATGGAGGAACAAAGCTGAGAATTATACCTTGGTTTCTCACCCACCCACAATTCTCTGTGCCCCCAGTAGAAATAAGTTTTGTTTTGGACAGAAAACCTGCAAATGGACAGCTCCTCAAGGACTGTACCCTTGGTACTAAACGACTAGGACTTGAGATCATGTCTCCTTCAGCCCAATTTTCCCCAAGCTTCTTGGAAAAGTCACTTCAATCTATCAGTACCTTTGTTTCCCTCATACTCCCCACCTCATACAGCCCCTCTAGAGAAAACTAGGGCCCATGAAGTGGTGCAAGGAGGATGGAGGAGCACTTACCACTGGGTGGCTTGGTCTTTTTGACTATTTTAAATGCACTTTTAAGCATTCCCTTTATTCCTTTGTTCCCCTTCTCAGGGCTGTCCCCGGCAGAGATGCAGCTCTCATTGCTCGTGATGGAAGAGGCACGTGAAGCTCTGCAGGCTGCCTCTGGCCTTTCTCTCATCTTCTCCTGGTCCCTGGACCAGATCTCATCTGCAGAAGGTTCAGGACAGGCAGGGACTTGCTCAGCTGATGGTGAAGTGTTTTCAAATGGCCTGTTTGCATCAATGCAACCCTCTGATCCACTGCGTATTCCAAAAGGACTTTGGAAAAAAGGTAACATTTTCATCATTTTCCTTCTAGCCTGTAAATTTCAGGGGAAAAAAAAAAACAGATTAGAACAGTTAGGAAGAAAAATACCAAGGAGAAAGTGTGGCAAGGCAACATGGGGAATGTTACACATCTGGTTTGAGCACAGGGGAATTCCTGAGCAACAACATCCCTGCTAATGTCCAGTCTAAATTAGAGAAAAATCCAAGAGCCATTTTGAGGGTGATTCAGATGTTCTGATTTCAGACCTTGAGCTTGTCAGGCTCTCCCATGGGATGCTGTGTGACTATGGACATGAGCATGGGTGGGAACATGAATGATGTGAGTGGGATAAGTGTCCTGTGCCTTCAAAGCAACCACAAAACTCTCATACTCTTACATGGCATCAGAATCAATTCCCACCTTACTCAGGGCCTTTTTTTCCTGATCTGTGTTCAAGGTAAGTGGGAACAAGGCACGAGGATCAGGGTAGTTTAGCCTTGTTTAAACAAACATGATCCTGCCAGAGTCCTGCATTACCATCAACACTCTTACACTGCAAATAATTAACAACAGAAATTTGTTATTGTTACAGCTTCTTCTCAGAATTCATGTTTAGAATTATGTTCCTCTATAATTCAATAGATTGCAAAATATTTATTTGCATAACTATAACCATTTTATAATGATTAGAATTATGCAATTATTGTAAATAAATAAATAAAATGACTCATAGCTTCCAATCCTTATTCCAATAATGCTTTATTTGAAGTGACTTTCTAGGAGACTGAAGCACATCTGCATGAAGAACTCTCAGGCAAGTTTTGGGTTGCTTGTACTGAGTAATGGCAGAAAAATTAGACTTCAAACAAATGAAGAATTTGGCTTCAGTTACACAGCCACAATGTGGTGATCTTCAAATACCTCTGTTGAGTTTATAATGTTGATATGTCTCATGCTGATTCAAAATGTGATACTTATTTCTGGGAAAACGGGTTGGAAGACTGTGGCTTTTCATTCTAAGTTATACAGAGAGCAGTGAGAGCCTGGCTTTGCTGAGAGCTTTCCTTCTGCCTGCTTTGGACGCCAGGCCATGTTCGGGATTAGTAATGCTATTACCCTCTAAACACAACAAATACGAAAACTCATTTGGGAAGAAGTTCTGCTTGCATGAGCAAGCAAAGGGGGCCTGAGCACCAGAGCTCAGCTGACAGGAGTTACAGAATAGTCTGAGCTGGAAAGGACTCACAAGGATCACCAATTCCAACTCTGAAGTGAATGGCCCATACAGGGATTGAACCCACAACCAAAGGCATTATTAGCACCATACTCCTAACTAACTGAGCGAACCCCAGGTTAGCAGCAGCTGTGCCATGGCTGAATGTGTGCACATACATCTCCCTAGCACATGTGCTGAGGAGGGGAGGGGGAAGGAAACCCCCTGCAGTTTACTCCAGCTATGCTAGTCAGGATGCCCCATTAGAATCCTGAAAGCAATGCAAAGGAGTTCCTTTTTGTTACATTTCCACTACAAAAATACCCAGAAAAACAACCAACTAACCCAAAAAAATCATGGCAACAGGCATGTTCTGCAAGTGACTTGGACTTGCCTAATTTTTGTAAGGCTCTTTTCATAACCTGCATTTCCCAACACAACACTGTGCTTAGATTAATTCTGCCAAATCCCTTCCTTCCTGTTTGTTCAAGCACAGACTCATCTAAGTCCTTTCTCTCTCTCCTATTATTTCAAACAAAGCATTATTGGGTTTTTTTTTTGTTTGTTTGTTTTCTAACCAAAGAAAGTACCTCACCCCTTCCAAAAGGCTAAGGTCTTTCATTTTGATGAATGATGATGACAAAGGTGGACTTTGAAGTTTTGGTTTTTCTTCAATGCCAAGATAAATGCAATAGATCTTTGAAAAGCATCAAAGTGACACTACACAGACAAGACTCCATAAGTGAATGATTAAGCTGGTTAGAGGCTGAGTTTTTAACATCTGTCAGAACTTTGTCATGGTAGTGCTCAAAAAAAGCCAGCCTCAAGCACCTAGGTAAGTCTGTCAATGCAAAAGCTGCCACACTCTCACATTTGGCCAGCTTGAACTCTTGCCCAGGGATTGTCATGTGCTGGTTGACCTGTGTTTGTATCTGCAGCAGGAAAAAACATTAAACCTCAGCTGCCACTTCTGCCTTGAAGTGCTTCCCCACTCTTAATGACAAGGGGTACCAAACACTTTCTGTCCATCTCTTCTCATTATTGTTAGAAAACCAAGACCTTACTGTAAGAAATGCTTTTAAGAAACTTACAGAAAAAACTGCCAACACCTTCTACAAGAAATACTCAGCTAAAAGGAGGTGTTCCTGGTTACATCTGGGGTGCACAGGCAGGAGATGCTGAGCAAGGACTGCACCTCCTGCCTCTATCAGGACATGCTCCTGCCCAGCGTTTCTTGGCTTTGGCTTTGATGGCTGCAGGCTGCTCCTCTATGCCTGTGCTCTTCTCACAAATCAAAGTCCGCTAAAACTCCAGCAGGCTTCTAATTTTTTTAGCAGGAGAAATGCTAAATCATTTCCCAGAACTCAAATTCAGGTCTTAGGAAATGTAATGATTTGAGGTCAAGAGTTGACATTGTTCCCAACTCATATTATTACTAATTTACTGTTATCATCGTCATCCTCATTATTGTTATGTGGCAACATGGTTTGTGCCAGGGGAGCCTTTAGCTCCAATTATTTCTGACACAGCATATTCAGCTCCTGGTTTCAAACCAGAAGGCAGCACACCCTCTGCCACCCTGTCCAGATGCCCTGCAGCACTGGGACTGTGGTGCTGCGACTGCTGCTGTAGCTATGGCGGGATGCAGCGTGCTCTCTGCTGATCACAGCACCTACCTCTGAGCTGGAGCTTTTCTGGGGTGGGCAGCAAGGGAAACACTTGGAGTCAAGACACAGGAGGACCCAGCCTGGACTCTGGGCACAGTGGCTTCCCATGTTCTCCTTTTCCTTCTCAAAGGAAACAGCCTTTATGCAGAATGATCTCATTGGTCAGGGGTAGCTCATGGTGTGCCAGAGAGCACTCAAGGGAAGAGATTTATTAATTATCTCTATTCTGAATTTTTTTGCTGAACTTTTTCTTGACTTCTTTTTCCTGAGCTGCTGCCAGTATTAACAAGCAATTGTTTGGATTTTTGGTCCTCTCCAGCCTGCTGACATACTAGGTCATGAGGATTTATATCTCATTTTAGTGGAGATCTCCCATTCTCTCACAGCCTCTCAGAAATCCAGAGTTATCTAGCAAAGTTATCTATCTGCCCACACAAGAGAACTGCACTGGGCCAAGCCATCTTTGAAGCCATAGAGGACTGCAGGCAGCTTGAGTTTGGTATACCTCAGACCATGTGCTGACACCTAAACAAACTGCTAATTCATCAAAGCAAAGAGTCCAAAAAGATGCCAGATTCAATCTCTGCAATCTGGGAGCCCTCCTAGGAGGTGAGGGGTTTTTCCTGCCCTTTTTGTTATCTGGGTACTGAATGGAGACACCACAAATCTGGGGGCTCCCACTTGGCTCTGCCTGGGAAATCACAGTCTATAGAAGAGCTGGGCCACCCAGAGCCCACCTTGACCTTCTACTGTGCTGCTCACATCCATAGTCCCATCTGCAGACCCCTGTGAGACACCCACCACCCAATATGTGTTCCAGCAGCGTCCTGATGATGGCCAAGTTCTGCTCCTAATGGGGAGCTGAGGGAAAACAAAACTTGTCTCCAGTAAAGAAGCCAAGGCAGGAGCAGAAACTGCCCAGAGGATTCAATCCCTGTGCCCCAGCATCACCAGGCTGCCCGACAGGGCTGGGGGTGATGGGGAACCCAAGGGATTCAGGGGAATCACAGTGGCAGAGCAGGGAAAGGACCCCAGGGCATCTTATCTGGCATGAGAGAGATGTTTTAAGCCAGCATAAAACCATGTGTAGATAGGACTGTGCAGTGCAGCAGTCATTTCCAAATGAGACTCTGATTTCCCTAAATTACTGACACACCTGAAAGCCATCCAGTAAACCATCATCTCCTGTTTTTATTGAGAATCTTTCAAACAGAGAAAGAGAAAATTCTATGTATACACTATTATTGGGAAAAAGCAGAGAGAATGCACTGCAATACTCTCATTGTTTCTTCTTGCTTCAAGTCTGAGCAGCATAATTTTGAACTGTTGCTGCTGAAAGAGCAACCAACTGCTGCTGTCTAGAGTTTTATTTTCATAATAAAAAAGTTTTTAGTTCCAAAGCCAAATCCTTCTTTAAGGTCTGGAGTTTGCAAAGTTCACTGCTAGAGCTAACAGCGACTGAGCAGATAAACAAATTCTCTGGGAGCTTCTCTCAGCACTTTCAAATTCTTTGGCTTTCCAGGCATCTTTTATACAGAGGGTGAATGAAGCAAACCCAAACCTGAGCTCTCTGCTCCCTTGTGATTTGCTTTATCAGAGCTGAAAAGCCTCAAAGTCCCTTGCTGAGGGGCAGGCAGTTGACACTTTGGACAGTGTTTCTTCAGGTTTTCCATCTGAACTTGGGTGTCAAAGTGAGGCACCATGGCTTCTAGATCAGCCATATGCTCCAGTCACAGAAAGTCTCTTCACTTTTCAGCAGCCTTAAAAAGAAATTCTGCTTTGAACGCACCAAGGATCCTAACCCTGGGGCTGAATTTTTCAATTTATGCTGAGGAGCTGATGCAATGGATATGGGGCTGCTGCACAAAGACAGAAGGGAATTTCTATAGGCTTTTCAATGCTCTGGGAAAAGGCAGGTCCTAGGAGCTGTGGGACATCCCTGACAAAGCAAAAGCAGTCACAAAAGGACAAGCATGGCAATGCAGAAATGTGCCAGCTTGGCACACTGACCCTGGCAGGGTGCAAGTCCCAGGGGCTGCCCAGGGCCATCCAGGGTCCAGGCTCTGAAATAGTGTTTTTTCAGGGTAGCCAAACTGAGTGAATCACAGTCCAATTACTTTCCTGTGGTTTGGGGGAAAGCCACTTCCTTTAAATACAGACAAAGAAGAAAGGGCAGAAATGCCACACTGGATCTGGAATCCAGC